CTGACCTGCTATAGCAGCTCTGATGTTCTGAGAGGGAAAGAGAGAGACTGACCTGCTATAGCAGCTCTGATGTTCTGAGAGGGAAAGAGAGAGACTGACCTGCTACGGCAGCTCTGATGTTCTGAGAGGGAAAGAGAGAGACTGACCTGCTATAGCAGCTCTGATGTTCTGAGAGGGAAAGAGAGAGACTGACCTGCTATAGCAGCTCTGATGTTCTGAGAGGGAAAGAGAGAGACTGACCTGCTATAGCAGCTCTGATGTTCTGAGAGGGAAAGAGAGAGACTGACCTGCTATAGCAGCTCTGATGTTCTGAGAGGGAAAGAGAGAGACTGACCTGCTATAGCAGCTCTGATGTTCTGAGAGGGAAAGAGAGAGACTGACCTGCTACGGCAGCTCTGATGTTCTGACAGGGAAAGAGAGAGACTGACCTGCTATAGCAGCTCTGATGTTCTGAGAGGGAAAGAGAGAGACTGACCTGCTATAGCAGCTCTGATGTTCTGAGAGGGAAAGAGAGAGACTGACCTGCTATAGCAGCTCTGATGTTCTGAGAGGGAAAGAGAGAGACTGACCTGCTATAGCAGCTCTGATGTTCTGAGAGGGAAAGAGAGAGACTGACCTGCTACGGCAGCTCTGATGTTCTGAGAGGGAAAGAGAGAGACTGACCTGCTATAGCAGCTCTGATGTTCTGAGAGGGAAAGAGAGAGACTGACCTGCTATAGCAGCTCTGATGTTCTGAGAGGGAAAGAGAGAGACTGACCTGCTATAGCAGCTCTGATGTTCTGAGAGGGAAAGAGAGAGACTGACCTGCTATAGCAGCTCTGATGTTCTGAGAGGGAAAGAGAGAGACTGACCTGCTATAGCAGCTCTGATGTTCTGAGAGGGAAAGAGAGAGACTGACCTGCTACGGCAGCTCTGATGTTCTCCTTACAGGTGTCCCAGTATTCTGTTCCACACACACCCAGAGAGTTCCTCCCTAGACCTACTACTGCTATACACGGGAAGTCCTGTATACGCACACACACACACACACACACACACACACACACACACACACACACACACACACACACACACACACACACACACACACACACACACACACAGGTAATTATTGCATGTGTTATTTCATAGTTTTGATGTCTTCACTATTATTAAAAATTAAATGTAGAAAATAGTAAAAATAATGGAAACTTTGGACTGGTACTGTGTGTGTGATATAAATATATATATATTACCTCATGAAGACCGTAGAATATTCTGTTCATATAGTTAATATATGTGTTACCTCATGAAGACCGTAGAATATTCTGTTCTTCCCTTTCTTCAGACCTGGTCCTGATCTGAGGAGTTACCAGGGAGGGTGTTATTTACACCAGTCACTCTTACAGATAGTCTGTGTGTGAGGTGGACTCTTACAGATAGTCTGTGTGTGAGGTGGACTCTTACAGATAGTCTGTGTGTGGGGTGGACTCTTACAGATAGTCTGTGTGTGGGGTGGACTCTTACAGATAGTCTGTGTGTGAGGTGGACTCTTACAGATAGTCTGTGTGTGAGGTGGACTCTTACAGATAGTCTGTGTGTGAGGTGGACTCTTACAGATAGTCTGTGTGTGTGGGGTGGACTCTTACAGATAGTCTGTGTGTGTGAGGTGGACTCTTACAGATAGTCTGTGTGTGAGGTGGACTCTTACAGATAGTCTGTGTGTGGGGTGGACTCTAACAGATAGTCTGTGTGGGGTGGACTCTTACAGATAGTCTGTGTGTGTGAGGTGGACTCTTACAGATAGTCTGTGTGTGTGGGGTGGACTCTTACAGATAGTCTGTGTGTGAGGTGGACTCTTACAGATAGTCTGTGTGTGAGGTGGACTCTTACAGATAGTCTGTGTGTGAGGTGGACTCTTACAGATAGTCTGTGTGTGAGGTGGACTCTTACAGATAGTCAGTGTGTGGGGTGGACTCTTACAGATAGTCTGTGTGTGTGAGGTGGACTCTTACAGATAGTCTGTGTGTGGGGTGGACTCTTACAGATAGTCTGTGTGTGAGGTGGACTCTTACAGATAGTCTGTGTGTGAGGTGGACTCTTACAGATAGTCTGTGTGTGAGGTGGACTCTTACAGATAGTCTGTGTGTGAGGTGGACTCTTACAGCTAGTCTGTGTGTGAGTTGGACTCTTACAGATAGTCTGTGTGTGCGGTGGACTCTTACTGATAGTCTGTGTGTGCGGTGGACTCTTACAGATAGTCTGTGTGTGAGGTGGACTCTTACAGATAGTCTGTGTGTGAGGTGGACTCTTACAGATAGTCTGTGTGTGAGGTGGACTCTTACAGATAGTCTGTGTGTGCGGTGGACTCTTACTGATAGTCTGTGTGTGCGGTGGACTCTTACAGATAGTCTGTGTGTGAGGTGGACTCTTACAGATAGTCTGTGTGTGAGGTGGACTCTTACAGATAGTCTGTGTGTGAGGTGGACTCTTACAGCTAGTCTGTGTGTGAGTTGGACTCTTACAGATAGTCTGTGTGTGCGGTGGACTCTTACTGATAGTCTGTGTGTGCGGTGGACTCTTACAGATAGTCTGTGTGTGAGGTGGACTCTTACAGATAGTCTGTGTGTGGGGTGGACTCTTACAGATAGTCTGTGTGTGTGAGGTGGACTCTTACAGATAGTCTGTGTGTGGGGGTGGACTCTTACAGATAGTCTGTGTGTGAGGTGGACTCTTACAGATAGTCTGTGTGTGAGGTGGACTCTTACAGATAGTCTGTGTGTGAGGTGGACTCTTACAGATAGTCTGTGTGTGAGGTGGACTCTTACAGCTAGTCTGTGTGTGAGTTGGACTCTTACAGATAGTCTGTGTGTGCGGTGGACTCTTACTGATAGTCTGTGTGTGCGGTGGACTCTTACAGATAGTCTGTGTGTGAGGTGGACTCTTACAGATAGTCTGTGTGTGAGGTGGACTCTTACAGATAGTCTGTGTGTGAGGTGGACTCTTACAGATAGTCTGTGTGTGAGGTGGACTCTTACAGATAGTCTGTGTGTGCGGTGGACTCTTACAGATAGTCTGTGTGTGCGGTGGACTCTTACAGATAGTCTGTGTGTGCGGTGGACTCTTACAGATAGTCTGTGTGTGGGGTGGACTCTTACAGATAGTCTGTGTGTGAGGTGGACTCTTACAGATAGTCTGTGTGTGAGGTGGACTCTTACAGATAGTCTGTGTGTGAGGTGGACTCTTACAGATAGTCTGTGTGAGGTGGACTCTTACAGATAGTCTGTGTGTGAGGTGGACTCTTACAGATAGTCTGTGTGTGAGGTGGACTCTTACAGATAGTCTGTGTGTGAGGTGGACTCTTACAGATAGTCTGTGTGTGAGGTGGACTCTTACAGATAGTCTGTGTGTGAGGTGGACTCTTACAGATAGTCTGTGTGTGCGGTGGACTCTTACAGATAGTCTGTGTGTGAGGTGGACTCTTACAGATAGTCTGTGTGTGGGGTGGACTCTTACAGATAGTCTGTGTGTGGGGTGGACTCTTACAGATAGTCTGTGTGTGAGGTGGACTCTTACAGACTCACATCTTTAGCAGCTCAGTCAGTTTACCAGACAGAACTCTGTCGACCCCAGCTGCCGCTTCAGTTAGATGGAGAGAGTCCTCTTCCTTCTCCGTCTCGTACACTCCTAGTACCAGACCCTGGGTGGACGGACACACACACACAACAAGTTAACACACTCGCTAGCTACTACCAAGGCTTCCAGCCCAGCAGCAACAACACAGACAGCTAGCTAGCTGGCTACAGTAGAGGGCTGTGGCTGGCTACTACCAAGGCTTCCAGCCCAGCAGCAACAACACAGACAGCTAGCTAGCTGGCTACAGTAGAGGGCTGTGGCTAGCTACTACCAATGCTTCCAGCCCAGCAGCAACAACACAGACAGCTAGCTAGCTGGCTACAGTAGAGGGCTGTGGCTAGCTTCCAGCCCAGCAGCAACAACACAGACAGCTAGCTAGCTGGCTACAGTAGAGGGCTGTGGCTAGCTACTACCAAGGCTTCCAGCCCAGCAGCAACAACACAGACAGCTAGCTAGCTGGCTACAGTAGAGGGCTGTGGATAGCTACTACCAATGCTTCCAGCCCAGCAGCAACAACACAGACAGCTAGCTAGCTGGCTACAGTAGAGGGCTGTGGCTAGCTTCCAGCCCAGCAGCAACAACACAGACAGCTAGCTAGCTAGCTACAGTAGAGGGCTGTGGCTAGCTACTACCAAGGCTTCCAGCCCAGCAGCAACAACACAGACAGCTAGCTAGCTGGCTACAGTAGAGGGCTGTGGCTGGCTACTACCAAGGCTTCCAGCCCAGCAGCAACAACACAGACAGCTAGCTAGCTGGCTACAGTAGAGGGCTGTGGCTAGCTACTACCAAGGCTTCCAGCCCAGCAGCAACAACACAGACAGCTAGCTAGCTGGCTACAGTAGAGGGCTGTGGCTGGCTACAGTAGAGGGCTGTTGCTAGCTACTACCAAGGCTTCGAGCCCAGCAGCAACAACACAGACAGCTAGCTAGCTGGCTACAGTAGAGGGCTGTGGCTAGCTACTACCAAGGCTTTCAGCCCAGCAGCAACAACACAGACAGCTAGCTAGCTGGCTACAGTAGAGGGCTGTGGCTGGCTACTACCAAGGCTTCCAGCCCAGCAGCAACAACACAGACAGCTAGCTAGCTGGCTACAGTAGAGGGCTGTGGCTGGCTACTACCAAGGCTTCCAGCCCAGCAGCAACAACACAGACAGCTAGCTAGCTGGCTACGGTAGAGGGCTGTAGCTAGCTACTACCAAGGCTTCCAGCCCAGCAGCAACAACACAGACAGCTAGCTAGCTGGCTACAGTAGAGGGCTGTGGCTGGCTACTACCAAGGCTTCCAGCCCAGCAGCAACAACACAGACAGCTAGCTAGCTGGCTACAGTAGAGGGCTGTTGCTAGCTACTACCAAGGCTTCGAGCCCAGCAGCAACAACACAGACAGCTAGCTAGCTGGCTACAGTAGAGGGCTGTGGATAGCTACTACCAAGGCTTCCAGCCCAGCAGCAACAACACAGACAGCTAGCTAGCTGGCTACAGTAGAGGGCTGTGGCTGGCTACTACCAAGGCTTCCAGCCCAGCAGCAACAACACAGACAGCTAGCTAGCTGGCTACGGCTAGCTACTACCAAGGCTTCCAGCCCAGCAGCAACAACACAGACAGCTAGCTAGCTGGCTTTCAGCCCAGCAGCAACAACACAGACAGCTAGCTAGCTGGCTACAGTAGAGGGCTGTGGATAGCTACTACCAAGGCTTTCAGCCCAGCAGCAACAACACAGACAGCTAGCTAGCTGGCTACAGTAGAGGGCTATGGCTAGCTGTACATGACAGTCCCAGGACTATAGATAGGAGACGACTAGTCATTGTGTTACCTTTAGCTTCCTGTTCTTTAACAGGTGTCTCAGAGTCAGGACAGTAGCTAGCTAGCTATTATTCCCCTTTCACCAGTGATCTGGTCCAGCTAAGCTAGCTACAGTGCCTTCAGAAAGTACTCTTTTGTCATTTAGCAGACGCTCTTATCCAGAGCGACTTACAGGAGCAATTAGGGTTAAGTGCCTTGCTCTAGGGCACATCGACAGATTTTTCACCTAGTCAGCTCGGGGATTAGAACCAGCGACCTTTCGGTTACTGGCACAACGCTCTTAACCACTAAGCTACCTGCCGCCCGGTGATATTCAACATCATCAACTAGGTCCATACAGAAGACGCCTTCGTCCAATGACTTAACTCTGTGTAATGGCACTGAGTCACCAAGGGCTAGGTAGCCTGTTTTCTAGCCTTTATGAAACGTACTTTTCTGGCGTTCCAGTTGTTTTGTGCCGTAGAAAAGTAGCGACAGCGGTGTCTCCTCGTACCCCACAACACCGCTCGACTTAACATCAGCATCGTATCTGTTTTTTTTTTTTTTATATATACCGTTCTAGGGAAAATGAGATTTATCAAAGTACTACTGTAGCTTAACATGTGTATCTGGAAGGTTGCCTTCCGACCTTAAACTGTCGCATAAACTGTTACGTCAATAGTAAGCGACTCCATTCTTCGTCTTCTTCTTCTGTGGATTTTCAATAGCGGTTGGCAACCAACTTTAAGGTGCATTACCGCCACCAACTGGACTGGAGTGTGGACCAGAGACCGCGAAGGTCTAAATCCCTAATAATCCATAATCTCGTCTCCTTTAGGAAACGAAATACATAATGAAATACTACATCCTCTGAAGATTTCCCCAGCAGTTCACTTAATCCTGGCTCTTCAACCCCGTTACTCCTCAAATCTAATAACAATCGCTCCTTTCTCTCACATATCTCTGGCACTGAAATAGAACATGTTCCACTGTCTCCATCTCCTCCTGACGGTGATCACACCTCCCAGTCGGATGTTTCCCCTGCCAATTTCTATGTACTATTGAGCCTTGTCTGTCCCCCAGTCTCAGCCTTGTGACTACACTCTCCTCCCTTCTCTCTCGGCCTGAGGACCTCCCTGCCCCCACCTGTTCCTGGATCTTATCCAGGCGTCTTCCCTTTACACTCCCTGTTCCACAACTCTTCCACTTATTTCTAACCTCTGTTCATATTAATTCCGTGGCTTCTGCTTTTACTGATTTGACAATTCCATCTCAACATTAGGATGTTTAAGAGCCTGCTTTGCGATAACATCCACCTCCTCATTCCCCTTCTCACTCCCACATGAGCTGGTACCCAGAGGAACCTCACAATACCTAACCCTAACCCTAACCCTTCCTCATTCCCCTTCTCACTCCCTCATCAGCTGGTACCCAGAGGAACCTCACAATACCTAACCCTAACCCTAACCCTAACCCTAACCCTTCCTCATTCCCCTTCTCACTCCCACATGAGCTGGTACCCAGAGGAACCTCACAATACCTAACCCTAACCCTAACCCTAACCCTAACCCTAACCCTAACCCTTCCTCATTCCCCTTCTCACTCCCACATGAGCTGGTACCCAGAGGAACCTCACAATACCTAACCCTAACCCTAACCCTAACCCTAACCCTAACCCTAACCCTTCCTCATTCCCCTTCTCACTCCCACATGAGCTGGTACCCAGAGGAACCTCACAATACCTAACCCTAACCCTAACCCTAACCCTAACCCTTCCTCATTCCCCTTCTCACTCCCACATGAGCTGGTACCCAGAGGAACCTCACAATAACCCTAACCCTAACCCTAACCCCTAACCCTCCTATCCCCTTTCCTCCATCCTAACCCTTCCTCATTCCCCTTCTCACTCCCACATGAGCTTGTACCCAGAGGAACATCACAATACCGCCCATCTGTCTCACCCTAAACAAACACTGCAAAACCTCATACAATACATCCTGTCTGCTCTGAGATACAAATGAAATGTAAACTCATCAGGGCTGCCCAGGAGTCAGAGCAGATGACTACTCAGTCTGGCCACACCTCCTCCACCCACTCTGCAGCTAATAGTACGGGCAGCAACTCCCGTTGTGTGAACAGATCAATGATCCGTTGCTCTTTTTTTCGTCACTGACACCTTTTAAACTCAGGAACACTAAAAGCTGCTCCTTTCCTCCCTGTTTTAGGGTCCTTAGATCCATCAGTGAATTATATTCAAGAAAGCATAGTATTGTGTTCTTAAAATGTTCACTTACAACTGAATCTACTCCTTCCTCGACATCTCTTACCCTCTCCAGCAACCCTAGATATATCACTGGCTGAGGGAGAAACCAAGGTGGGATAGCAGGAAGAACCACAGAGGGGCTGAACTCCCTCCAAAACAACCCCATCTCTCTCGCCATGCAATTGCCTATCCACCCAAAGCTTGTATTCAGATTTTGTTTATGTTCCCAGCACTCTAGCAGGACCTTTTTTATAAGATGTGAAACCTTATGTCCTTGTAGATTTACCCAATATGTCACGGCAAGCTGTTGACTTCTTAGCTTTAACGGCATCTCTCCCAACTCTGCCTGCATCGCTGCCACTGGGGAGGTCCTGAGTGCTCCACAACGTATTCTTAGGGCTTGGGCCTGGATAACATCTAGCTTTTATAAAGATGTCTGAGCTGCTGATCCAAATGCTATCCTTCCATAGGATTATATTATTGATGACCTTAACAGAGCTATATATATCATTTTCAATGCCATTCTATCTGTGCCCCCACTCCATTCCTGACAAGCAACACATCACATTCAATATTTTCTTTCCTTTGACAACTACTCTGTTAATATGCTCCGCCCCCACGTCATTCGAGCGTCAAACCAGACCCCCAGGAACCTAAACCCCCCCCCTCCAGATTCCTTCCATACAACTTCAAGTATATTTCCTCCCCAACCTTTATTTATGTCTTTCTAGAGAAAAACACAGTCTGTTAACTCAACTGAAAACTGAGGGACCACTGCTTGACTTCACTAATCGCTTCCTGAGCTCTTCTGGCTGTCTGGGTAATATTTCTGTAAGCGATTCCAGCTGTCTTTTTTCTTCTTTGAATTTTTTGAGTTTAAAAAAAGTACTCTGTCGCCACCTACCGACGGTCTTGAGAAACAACACCAAATGATTCTCCACAGAAACCAAACCACGGAACATTTTAGATTCTTATTAAACAAGATTTATTAACAATTAACTTTCATATATATACACATTAGATGTACAAATATGTTACATGTTGACAGCGCTCGGAGGTGGCAGTTGAGAGGCAATAGGTAACAGACAAACATTATGTAATGTAGTCATCATGTCCCATTGACAATAGGGTTGGGGTTCAATTCCATCTTTAAATTCCAGTTCCAATTCTAAATGTTCCAAATTGAAAAGAGTTTGAACAGAATTGGAATTGGAATATCGGTATACTTCCTGAATTAACTGGAAATTAAATGGAATTTACCCCAGTGTCCTCCAGCAGTTTATTGTCTCACAAGACGCTGTTATAGACGGGTTGGTGGTTTAGCAACAAAACCGACGGGTGCAACAACTATGGGGCAAAACAGACGGGGTTGTCTTAAATTGTTGATAACATATAAACTATATTTTGTCTCCAATGTTTATTGAAAACATAAATAAAGTTGTCTCTCAAATACATCGTTACAGTTGTTGGTTAGCTAGCTAGCTAGCACATTTCTAGCCATATTAGCATAGACGCGACATCAGTCAAAAACACCTTAAAAACAAGACATGGTATCAAAGAAGAAACCAGTTGAAATGACTCACCTACGATTCCCCACATGGGAGTTTCTTGTCATTGTTGCTATCCACCTGGGCCATCCAGAACCAAAACAACACACGACCATTACTTACTATTGCGCTGGAGGGGACTGTATGCATGCTACCCAATGATGCTGAAGTAAAGACATTCTTATGAACATTAACTTCCTCCTGTATTTAATAATCAGAAAACACGGTAGATAGACCCAGTGTAGTGTAGATTACGGCTTCTATAGACAGTAGATAGACCCAGTGTAGTGTAGATTACGGCTTCTATAGACAGTAGATAGACCCAGTGTAGTGTAGATTACGGTTTCTATAGACAGTAGATAGGCCCAGTGTAGTGTAGATTACGGCTTCTATAGACAGTAGATAGACCCAGTGTAGTGTAGATTACGGCTTCTATAGACAGTAGATAGACCCAGTGTAGTGTAGATTACGGCTTCTATAGACAGTAGATAGACCCAGTGTAGTGTAGATTACGGCTTCTACAGACAGTAGATGGACCCAGTGTAGTGTAGATTACGGCTTCTATAGACAGTAGATAGACCCAGTGTAGTGTAGATTACGGTTTCTATAGACAGTAGATAGACCCAGTGTAGTGTAGATTACGGCTTCTATAGACAGTAGATAGACCCAGTGTAGTGTAGATTACGGCTTCTATAGACAGTAGATAGACCCAGTGTAGTGTAGATTACGGTTTCTATAGACAGTAGATAGACCCAGTGTAGTGTAGATTACGGGCTTCTATAGACAGTAGATAGACCCAGTGTAGTGTAGATTACGGCTTCTATAGACAGTAGATAGACCCAGTGTAGTGTAGATTACGGCTTCTATAGACAGTAGATAGACCCAGTGTAGTGTAGATTACGGCTTCTATAGACAGTAGATAGACCCAGTGTAGTGTAGATTACGGCTTCTATAGACAGTAGATAGACCCAGTGTAGTGTAGATTACGGCTTCTATAGACAGTAGATAGACCCAGTGTAGTGTAGATTACGGCTTCTATAGACAGTAGATAGACCCAGTGTAGTGTAGATTACGGCTTCTATAGACAGTAGATAGACCCAGTGTAGTGTAGATTACGGCTTCTATAGACAGTAGATAGACCCAGTGTAGTGTAGATTACGGCTCTATAGCAGTAGATAACCCAGTTGTAGATTACGCCTATAGATAATGCCCAGTGTATTACAGCGGCTAGTAGATAATGGCCCAGTGTAATTACAGCAGGCTAGTAGATAATGGCCCAGTGTAGATTACAGCAGGCTAGTAGATAATGGCCCAGTGTAGATTACAGCAGGCTAGTAGATAATGGTCCAGTGTAGATTACAGCAGGCTAGTAGATAATGGCCCAGTGTAGATTACAGCAGGCTAGTAGATAATGGCCCAGTGTAGATTACAGCAGGCTAGTAGATAATGGCCCAGTGAGATTACAGCAGGCTAGTAGATAATGGCCCAGTGTAGATTACAGCAGGCTAGCAGATAATGGCCCAGTGTAGATTACAGCAGGCTAGTAGATAATGGCCCAGTGTAGATTACAGCAGGCTAGTAGATAATGGCCCAGTGTAGATTACAGCAGGCTAGTAGATAATGGCCCAAACTGCCGGTTTGTGAAATGTTGTCTTTTCAAATATCACATAGCACAGGTTTTGGCCTCTTGGCATTCAGGTACATAATCCCAGTCAGTACCGGCTGGTCCAGTAACCCGGCTGGTCAGTAACCCGCTGTCAGAACCCGGCTGGTCAGTACTGGTCCCCGCTGGTCAGTAACCCGGCTGGTCAGTAACCCGGCTGGTCAGTAACCCGGCGGTCCAGTAACCCGGCTGGTCAGTAACCCGGCTGGTCAGTAACCCGGCTGGTCAGTAACCCGGCTGGTCAGTAACCCGGCTGGTCAGTAACCCGGCTGGTCAGTCGCCCGGCTGGTCAGTAACCCGGCTGGTCAGTAACCCGGCTGGTCAGTAACCCGGCTGGTCAGTAACCCGGCTGGTCAGTAACGCCGCTGGTCAGTCGCCCGGCTGGTCAGTAACCCGGCTGGTCAGTAACCCCGGCCTGGTCCAGTAACCCGTCGGTCCCGCTGGTCAGTAACCCCGGCTGGTCAGTAACCCCGGCTGGTTCAGTCCGCCCGGCTGGCCGAGTAACGCCGCTGGTCCGTAACCCGGCTGGTCCAGTTCGCCGGACCGGCTGGTTCAGTAACCGGCTGGTAGTAACCCGGCTGGTCAGTAAACCCCGCGGCCAAGTAACCCGGCTGGTCAGTAACCCGGCTGGTCAGTAACCCGGCTGGTCAGTCGCCCGGCTGGCAGTAGCCAGAACCAGGGTGCTGGAGTGTCTAGTGTCATTGGGGCCAGCTTCCAACGCTCCTGCCAGTCAACATTACGAGTAGATGTAATCCAGAAGGGAGTTGAACCACCAACTCTCTGGTGCTATTGCCAGGGTTAGTGGGGTTAGTCCCACAGGGTTTGAACCCGGGCCCACTGGAGACTGTTAGCCTGCTGAGCTAAAGCCTAGACATTACCTCTAGGAGTCAACACATCCTCAGCTGTCAGACAAGGTGAGTCATTCACTGAACCAACTCTGAGTCATTCACTGAACCAACTCTGAGTCATTCACTGAACCAACTCTGAGTCATTCACTGAACCAACTCTGAGTCATTCACTGAACCAACTCTGAGTCATTCACTGAACCAACTCTGAGTCATTCACTGAACCAACTCTGAGTCATTCACTGAACCAACTCTGTTCCACTGTGCTCCACCGTCCATGGAGCAGTCAGTGTGTGTGTGTGTGTGTGTGTGTGTGTGTGTGTGTGTGTGTGTGTGCAACAGGTTCTCACAGGTTAAGTGTAGGCATTCATTTGGACTGGTTAAGGTTAGGGCTACGGTTTGAGTTAGAAATCTATAATAAACGCTGTGCTATCACCATCAGTTAGCCTCACCGCTGGCTAGAGCATCGTGGGCAGGGATGACGGAGAGGTGGAATTCCTCAGGCTCCGGGGATCATTGGTTCAATCCCAGTACGAGGCTCCGGGGATCATTGGTTCAATCCCAGTACGAGGCTCCGGGGATCATTGGTTCAATCCCAGTACGAGGCTCCGGGGATCATTGGTTCAATCCCAGTACGAGGCAGTTGTTTTTCTTTTTTTTCTGTGAGCCGAAGAAGGCATATCCCGACGTCCTGGAGACCTGGACAAACGTTGAATATTGCAGTAGTCTTTAGTGATCTCGCTGGTGTGTGTGTGTGTGCGTGTGCGTGTGCCTGCCTGCATGTGTGTG